GATATCCCAACTATCCCAACTGGTTGACGTCCTCCCCCCCCCCCCATTCCCCCCATACTTGCGTCTCTGTTTCCAAGACACAACAAAAAGAATTATACAGATCGTTTCCGAGTACGAAAACCGGCCGATATTAGAATATTTACGAGGATTGCCTATAATTTCCAATTACAAATATAGTATTATGTACCTATTCTATTATTATATATAATTGTATTTTATTTTATATTATTCAAAAAAAAAACAAATATTTTACTTAGTTAAAACTTATTTTTTTCTGTTTGCGTCCAAATAACGTGCGACCAGATGTCGTATGTCCAATTTACCACGCGTCCATTTGTCGTACTCGTCCTTTTGTCGCGCGTCCAAATTGCCGCGTCCTTTTGACGCGATACCGTCCAAATACAGGCTTGTTATAGGTTGAAATAGCTATCCCTCGCGCGAGCCTATAACGCAATTGTCGCGATTACGTACTATACCCCATTTTGCGCACTGCTGATTATATACATTGTATACCGCATTACAGACATTTATAATTTTGAACCAAAGCTAGACTCTTGGGGGCGGAGCTTATGGACTCGATGCTCTCTATGGTATACTTATACTATGTGAAATCGCGCCCGGGCCATCTAACATAAAAAGAAAGGCATGATTTGGCAACCAAATCACACCTACATGGTTTATATTAGTTTTCTTCTTTGTGTATATCTATTTTGTCCTTATAGTAGGTACCATGATGTTTGTACACAAGCATTGTAGTATGTAGGTAGGTATATAAAACAATGTTTGATGCTGACGTAATTCCCGATAGGTATATTATTTTTTTCTTTTTCCATCAGAATTTTTTTTAGCAATAACATAAATGATAAATTTCAACTGTTTGATAAATAAAACCATAAAAACACGTGAGAGCAGTTTATTTCCATTTCCCCCAAAACTCACTTATGGCTGTTTTTGGTTATCTCCCGTTTTTGAGAGAACCGCTGCACAGTGTTGCGGAATTGGGACAAAATTCATATCTTGAATACAAAGTTGAATTAATTAATGAGAATGTTTTTATTTATGCATAAACATTTTAGTGGACAACCCAAATGTAGAATATTTGAACAAAAGAAAATAATTCCTATTGTACAGGGTGAAACACACAAAAAAATTATAATGTTTAATTAAAAAACCTTAGGTGAATTTATTTTTCAAAAAAAAATAATATTCTTGTAGATAAATAAATTATAAAGATGATACATTTGTCATTAAAAATGTTAAAATTTTCAAAAATACGAAAATTAAGAACTAATAACTAGACGAGGATGTTTGCGCGTCATGACGTTATTTCCAGCGTCCCACTTGTTGCTGCACTCCCAGATTTTTTTTTTATGTTAGCAGAACAATTTTCTAGCTTTAAGTAAACTTGAATTGTTTCCATTACCATTTAAGGTTTTTGATTCTTGCCGCAAGTTACCCATTGTTGGTATAAAATACTATTAGGAATAGCAACGATTTTTTCTGAAAATAAAAAAAAAACGCAAAAATCCGCAAAAAATAATAACTGTCATTTTAAAGTAGAGGGTTTGCAGAGTTCAAATTCAAAAATTTATAGGACTATAATTTTATATATTTTTTAAATCCTTAGTTGAAATTTAAGAAAAATATTTTAGATATTTTAATTAATTATCTGCAAAAGGCAAATAGTGTAACTGAGTACTTACCCTCTATAATGTTGTCCATAACCCTCCTAATGTATTAAAAAAATAATTACCTCAAAACAATATCACGGCCTTTTCAAAATTTAATTTTATAATAACCTTCCAACAAATGCACAAAATTCTTTTTCGTTTTGTTTATCTCTGTTTTTTGGGAAATCGTGAACAAAAAAAGTTAACAATAATATACTTGTCATCACCAGGCATTTCTTCACAGATAGCCATATTTAATTATCCAAAAATAAATTCAAACATTTTTGAATTTTGTCCATTGAGTGCAACACTCTGCGCTGGGCCTACAAGTAACCAGTCTTAAATAAAAGCTAATTAAATTTACTATAGCTTCATTCCATATAATTATTGACGTGGGATGCATATTTTAGAAGATATTTCACAAAATAAATGACCATTTCGAGAAAAAAAAATACTTTTTGGAAAAAATGTCCTATTTTCGAAGAACTGCATCTTGGGAACTAATGGCTGTATATAGAGCTCGCCCTGGCCTAAAATTTTAGCATATTTAGTCTACTTTAGGATGTAAAGTGACTATAACGGTCAGCATTTATTCATTCCGTACATGTATATGGCACCTAGCACAATCCCATTGGTCAGATTTAAAATTAAAACCAATTAAACTTCGAGTGCCATACGCACGTACGGAATGTAAATCAGTGCCATATACACTTACGGATTGTAATATGCGTTATGCACATGCAAAATCACGTCTCCAGCGGCCAAATGTCCTGTTTTATTTTTGTAATTATTGTGGTCGGGCTTACATAGGTAGAGGTATTTCTATGGAGTTTGATGTTGCGTCTTCTCTTTCGATTTTCTCAAAAATATTTTGAACAAGAAATTGGCAGGTATTGCTTCGCCGACATTATATTCTTCAGATCTCTTGTGGTTTATTTGGGTGTTTGAAATCGTCATATCATGCGGCAACAATGTTGAATCATAATTATTTTGAACAACAGAGCCCTAAAAATGTAGGGCAAACCTAATGACTGAAAATGATGCTAGAGGATGGGTGAAAAAATGTATGTCTTTGATTATATTATTCAATAAACATATATTAACGCTTTTCTGTTTCGCTCTGATACTCTATGTATATTTTCTTTGCTCACCGAAACTTAGTTTAATACACCGCATGTTTGTTATATGTTAATAATACCTACCTACCTAAATTAAATTCGAAATTCCGTAAAAAAATTGGAAAATCCATACGCCATACTACCTCTTTGAGATACAGTATTTACTGCAGTTTAAAATAGATATAGTTGAAGAATAATTGACGCTCAACTCATTTTCAGCTTAACAAAATTTTCTGCTATAATAACTAGGTATGACATTCCGTAAGTGCATATGGCACTGATTTACATTCCGTACGCGCGTATGGCACTCGAGGTTTAATTGGTTTAAATTTTAAATCTGACATTGTGCTAGGTGTCATATACATGTACGGAATGAATAAATGCTACCGGTCAGACCCTTCCTTCACTGAGATATTGAAATCTGAAATAAGTCCGAAAATTTCATGGTTTTTTGGGTAGACCGCCGCTCGCACAGTACTTTGGAAATTGAAAATGTTGTTTTTTAATACTGGTTCAGGTCCTAACAACATATAAAAATTTGAGAACGACCGAACCTTTTGCAAGCACGGATCTACAGTGTGGTCATTTTACCTTGATAACATTTTAAACTGTCATAATTTCTTAATTTTCAAAGTTATTTAAATAAATAAGAAAAACATACTGTATGGTTGCTTTCCAAGTTTCTAGTATGGAATTCTCGAAGAAATAAGAGAAGGCAGGGGAGTAGTCTCACTGATCTGCGAGCCCGCCTATGTAAAACATTCATTTCTATTTCCATTTGAAATTTTTAAATGCGTGGAAGTTTATATTTTCTAATAAAGAGTTTAGGCTAAAAGGTGTTTTTTCTACTAACATATTGATACTACACAATGATATTTTTTATTTTAATACATAGGTAAGTCTGAGTCGATTTGAGTCGGAGTCTTCTCCACTTAACTGATATCAAGTATTTCATTTATATGTCTACTCAAAAGAGAATTCAAAATAATACATAAAAATCCGCATAGTTGCCTGATTGACACTACGCTGAATTGTTATCGATATGTCAATTACCCGAACAATATGCAAAATAAAAGCTTTCGTAAATCAGCAATAACACGGCAACAGGCAAGAAAACAGCCAATACAAACCGATGGAAAGTGGCGTCACCATTCACAATTCAAATTTCCAATGGAAATTTAGGACCATTACCGGTACCACAAAAAAAGAATAAATATTTTCAGGCTTTATTTGGAAAAGACGAGCTAAAATTTGACATGTTACGTGGCTTTGAGATGTTGATCAGCCCCGTCGATCTAAGAAACCCACCACCCCGAAACTACTAGCGGCACAAACCGCAATTTTCTTTCGATTGTCTAGTTATTCTATGGATCCATTGCTGAATAAAAGAAAGCGCCCATACCTTTCAGTTAAAGGAGTAAGAAAAATCCATTTGTACATTTTTTTTTGTCTTATATCTACTCATAATTTTATTTCTGCGGCTTTACTGGTGTACAGGGTGTCCACATTTATAGGCCCAAATTTCAATAAGAAGTACTATTAAGGATTTTTTTTAGAAAAAATCTGATAGCAGATTCTTGTTTAGAATGCTCTAAAACCCAAATGTACTAATTATTGTTTCAATACGATACAGGGTAATAACAACAAATTTTCACAATTTGATGAATCAAACCGCAAAAATTTTATATTTTGAGACAAGATTACTACAAGTTTTGGTTAAGGATGTTCTAAAACTATGTTGTATCAAGTTTTGTTGTTCTCAAGGCCTCCAAATATGACATTTTTCCGGTTTGGTCCATTAAATTTTGAAAATTTGTTGTGATCATCCTGTATCATATTGAAACAAGTACATTTGGGTTTTAGACGATTCTAAACAAGAATCTGCTATCAGATTTTTTCAAAAAAAATCCCTAATAGTACTTATTGAAATTTGAGCCTATAAATGTGGACAGCTTGTACACCAGTACAGCCGCAGAAATAAAATTATAAGCCAAATAAGTGCCAAATTCGAGTAGATATAAGACAAACAAAATGAATTAAATCGGTTGAAAAATAAAAATTTCAGAAGGGTGGTCAGTCCTTATGCGGGACACAATGTATATGAAAAAATGCATATAAATGATTTTATCTGCTACTAAAATTTCAGTAAAAAAAATTGACAAAAAAAGAGTTATTGTGTAGAACATGATTCAAAATCACCCTGAATATATTTCTAATTTTCTGTTGTCTTATGTATATTTTTTTCTTTAAATTCACTTCCTTCCGTGCTGATGCAATCTTCATTTTCCAAAGCATCGTCAAATATTTCATCGATCTTTCCATTATAGTCTACGAGTGATTCACTACGCATAGATTTCATACTATGAATCAGATTCTCCCCAAACGCTTCTTCTGGGTTCTGTCCTAAAGGCTCTATTTCGTCTGAAAAGAGTGAAAAAGATCGATCTTGACTTGGTTGCTGTTGGGTGAAAGAAACGCTCCGGTGTCTTTCTCTGTTGGTTTGTCTTTCGTGAAAGCGAGGATTGCTCGAGATGGTAACATTAGATGAGGATCTTCTTGAATTTGTTTTTAATTTTTTGCACAAATTGAGGCAGCCACCAAATATTTCTGATATTAACACAGCACCACCAGCTACATAACCAAACGCTAGCAGTAAAAACATTCCTTGGGTGTCATCTAGAGTTAATGCTCGATCTTCGGACACTGATTTGAAGCCTCCTATTTTAGAATTAGCCTGAAAATAATACATCCCTATATTAGGCACCTATAAGCTATTTTATATTACATATGTATAACATAATGCACCTAAAGGCAAATGAAATTGGGACTCTATTAAAACCAATCCTAACATGGGGTTTTTATATGCCATAAAACAGCTTTAATTTGACGTTTAAAAAAAAAGTAAATATGGAAAGTCTCTACTGCATCTCAGGAATACTTATTACATACCTAGTTCCTTTTTTCGACTAGGGTTTCGCTCATTTTACGAGGTTTTTGTCCAGCACAGTCAGAAAGAGAATCCATTTTTCTAGCGTAAAAGAAGTTTCCAAGAGAAATGGATGGTCCCGGGTTGCGTCTACTGGCTTAAATCACTACTAAGAAACACGTACTATACAGCCGGTTTCCTTCAACCGCAATTTTAGGTGAAAATGGTACCTTGTTTAGCAACTAGTACATTAAACTGTTTTTAGGAACAATTTCAAAATACTTGTCATGCCGGCCGTGCTACAACCTATGAGTTTGCTTCAGGTTTGTTTGTTTGTGTTATTCGACACAGCACTTCCTGCTTTGGGGCGGTCGTTCGTGAGCGTTTTATACAGGGTGTTTCAGTTTGACTACAAAAATTTTAACACGTGAAAATATGGCCCATTTTGAACAAAAAAAGTTTATACAACATGGGGTCCAAACTCAACCATTTTTAAGAAAAAGGCCTTTGAAGTTTTGACATTTTTTAACGAATATTTTAAAGGTAAAGAAATGTTTAATCATTAGAGATGTAGAAAAATTTAGTTTATCCAATTATTAAGTAATTATGCATTTTTAGTCAACAACTATAACAAAAAATTGAAAAAACAACTTACAAATTTCACTTGTAAAAGGGTATCTAAACATCTGGCAACACAGCACAATAAAGAATAGGTGGTTGAAGGTTGAACCGGGTGGAGTTGAATAAATTGATTCTTGATTTGGTCTAGTTAGGAAACCCGCGTAATTCAAATTCATTTTTTTTTGAAAATAAAATGTTCGAATATGCAGATACTTGTTTAGGCAGATATGTTGCAAAATGCTCATTTAGCCGCCAAAATTTACAAGGAAACTAGGGAAAGATTTTTCAAAAGAAAAGCACCCACCTGATGTAAGAACATTGTGCCTGTTTTACAAAGATTGCATAATACAGGAAGTGCGAGTTGTGAGTGTGTAAAATCTGCGTGTTAATTTTAGTGTTTTGAGAACCTCTTAACAACAATTAATAAGGATTTGACAATAGCTGAGTAAGTATTATTTGATTTTACTCTTGAATGTTCGGTGCAAAAATGTCATTGAGTGCAATTCACAACTTAATAAAATGGCACATTTTTTATTTTTACTAGAAAAGTGATAAAAATGTAAAGGGCCCCATACACTACGGTCAAACACGACGGTTTTCACCGCCGCGAGGAAACACGTCGTGTCAAAACCGAAGTGTGTGGTAGAAAACCGTCGTGTTTTTCTACCACACACTTCGGTTTTGGCACGACGTGTTTCCTCGCGGCGTTGAAAACCGTCGTGTTTCACCGTAGTGTATGGGGCCCTTAAGTTACTATTTACATTATTTGAAAGCCAATAACAAACCAAAACGTAAACAGATGGAAATAAATAAACTCCGTGCAAAAAAAAAAAACTTTTTAAATTTACGGGTGTTATTTACATGTGTTTACATTATTATATTCTGGCAGAGATAATACCTGTACAATGTTGTCACGTTGTTAACATTTTTCCTAATTTAAATTCTGCGATAACTCCAAAAATACTAACAATTGACCCATGGTTAATAGGACAGTATTAGATTGAAATGGGCCATATTATCTCATGTTAAAATATTTGTACTCATACCTGATACACCCTGTATAGTTTATCTGCCATAATCTGAAATATTACAGCTTAGTTCAAGTTAGTGCGACACAAACAAACAAACCTTTTTCAATAAAATATATGGTTCACTGTTCGGTAAGGCCTAGTTGTCCAAAATGTCATGGGGAAAGCAAAGAAAACATTAGTTAATTACTACCTGTTGACAACAAGAATCCTAATCCCTGAGAAAAACATCGCAAGAGAGAATAGAAAGAAAAACAGGAAGACAAGATTGTGCCTAAGAAATACATCATCAAACCTACATAAGAAGGTCAGACAAAAAATTCCAGAATACTCTGAACTTCCAAAAGAAGTAAAACAGCATATAAAATAAAGTATTCACAGTGCAGCATTTGAAGCCTTAGGCAAATGCAAAAAATACAACATAATTACACTCAAAACCTTATTGATGGGATGTAGAAGTCGAGAAAGACAGCAAATAAAAGGAAGAAATACAAACAGTACTCGAGTTCAAATGAATCAGGAGAAAAATAAATATATGAAAACAAGAAATAAAATAGTACATAAAAAGCGAGTAATGGGAAATGAATTGTACGCATATTAATACTTATCTGGGACCGAGAGGTTGCTATGAGAACAAGTGTCCTATCTTCAGTTCCATGCAAAATCTCATATGAGTTACAAAGACAGAAAATTGGTTCTCATGAGAACGCTGCTCTCTTTTTTCGAGAATCAGGCGTCAGATGTATACTGTATGACTAGAATTTCCGACGAATGTAACGTTAATGAAATAATCTAGCGTATTTCTGAGCGATCGAGCAAATTTTCTTGAGTCTAGACAATTACAGGAGGATTGAAACAGTATATAACGGTAATCGTCAATGAAGTTAGTACCTAGTGAAACAAACGAGCTGCGGAATAACTAAGAAGTTCTGAATTAGTGAGTTGATCAGTTATAGTGGTATAGTTTTTTGAACAGTTAATCTTAACTTGAGTGATTTGCATCATTTTTGTACTTGTGCTAGTTTTATTGGAGACAAATGTTGTGTTATTGTTTCAAATAAAGTTTAATTAATTTCGGAAAATTCGTTCTCACTTATCTGCGAGCCCGTATTCGCAATAATATTATAAAGGCAAGAAGGAAAAAATAAGAAGAGTATCTAATGACAGGCGCTTCCTAGAAAATCGAGATAGTGGAGATAAATAAAGAACTCATCAAAAATATAAATTTCAAACTTGAAAGGTGCATGTGACATAGAGAGAATCAAATTCCAAACACTTTGACCAAGAGAGACCTGAACATGTCGATTTTTTTCTTGTCCTGAGCTGGGACAAAACCCAAATAATTATCATTGGTTCATACTTAAACTCCAGGAAACACCAATATTAAAGTGTCAGATTTCTTTAGTGCGATCTATTATTTCATCAATTTAGGTAGAGGTGAGCATCATTCAGTTTTGCCATCAAAAATATTATATTGCTTTTTGAAATAAAACCCCATATCAGTCTCATTTGCTGGGTGTATATTAAGACTTACTGGTAAAAGTTTTCCTATAGCTGCTCTCAACATATTCCACTCTACATCACCTTTTATTTTTAGAAGAATTCCGGACTGTAGTATTCTCTGTATGCCTTGTGAAAATATTTCACTATATACCGAGTGCGTCGGAAAAATAATTCCAACCTTGAATGGTACAAAACACTGGTTGGTTATGTGTAGCAAGGATTTTCTACTCCTAAAATTTTTAACGGACAAATAATTGATAGTTATTTATGTCATTAGTCCAAGAAGAGAAGTGCGTCATTTTGTGTTGCGCTCAAAGTTCAAAATCTGACGCATAGCTACAATGGGCCACTTTCACATTTTTCAAAAACCTATTTAAATTCTTTTTTAGTCATTCTGATACTATCTGTATACTTTTTATCCAAAAAACCAAAACGCTTATTTTCGAAAATAAAATTATTCAAAAATCGAATTTTTCTGCTTTGAAAACGCGGGATCGGTTTGTGACGTCACAAACTCGAAATTCAATAAAATGCGAGGCTGCCAAATTTCTCATCAGTAAATCATTACGCAACTCACTAGCCAGAATCTATTTTCGTCCTTCACTACGCTATAAGAAAATAAAGGATATGTAATTTTGTATTTTAAATGTGGCAACAAAATCATGAATATCGGCTTTAGCCAATGAGACGCCGTTTCCAGTCACGTGATTTTTTGTTAAAATTTGCAATTTTTATTTAATAATTTATATCCTAGCTGATATTATAAATCCCTATGTTATTATTATACAAATAATTTCCCTTTTCAATGTTGAACATAAACATAAGCCACTGTAAAATCCCACATATTATAAAGTTGCTGAGTGAGTAAATAATTTATCATTCACAAATCAAGCTAAACACGAAATCAAGACCAAAGACGAAATACCAGTACACACAAAGACGTTTAGATATCCACATATTCATAAACAAGAAGTGAATAAACAAATCCAGCAAATGTTGGATTGTACCTAAAAAATTAGATGCTTCAGGCATAAAAAAAATGGCGAATAGTCGTAGATTATAGAAAGATCAATGAAAAAACGATAGACGATCGATACCTATTACCAAATATAACAGACATTCTTGTCAGATTTGGAAGAAGTAATTATTTTACTACTCTAGACTAAGCTTCTGGATTCCACCAAGTTGAAATGCATCCAAGCTCCATAAGTAGAACAGCTTTCAATGTAGAAAATGGACATGATGAACTTACTCGTATGCCCTTTGGATTAGAGAATGCCTCAGCGAAATATAAAAGAGTAATGGTCAACGTACTTATAGGTTTACAAAACAAAATATGTCTAGTTTACATGGATGATATGATTATATTTTCTACTTCTCTTCAAGAACATATTGCAAATCTCAAAAAGATATTTAAAAGATTAAAACAGTTCAATCTAAAAATCCAATTAGACAAATCAGAATTTTTAAAGAAATCGGTAGAATTCTTGGGACATGTAATAACCCCAAATGGTATTAAACCAAACCCAATGAAAATCGAAGCAATAAAAAAATCTCCAATCCCAAAAACAGTAGAAGAAATTAAATCATTTATAGGATTGATAGGATATTACCGAAAGTTCATAAAAAACTTCGCTAAAATAACAAACCCAATGA